ATTAGTATGATTCCCGTATACAAAGACCAAATTTGATAGCGCAAGATTATTGACATCTCAGTGTTATAATATGGCTGGTTCAAAAAACAAAAACACATACACTGGCACTGAGATATGCAGAAAAGAGATTGAGACTGAATTTTCTAGACTCAGTATCTGCTCCATGCACCGAAAAAAAAACATTCCTTATTATAAATGAGGCATCTGGCAAGTTGCCAACCTGTGAAGCAACCGTTTTATGGTTTATCCTAACACAGTTCTGTTTTTAATCTGCACTATTTTCATCCAGCATCATATTTTAAAGGGAGGAGGGTAAGGCGGAAGTGACTAAAAAAATAAAGTTAGCAGAAATTTTGACAGGGTCCATCATGCAGAAAATTGTTTTGAACTCTCAAATATCCATTTCAGCATTCAGGAAATTAGGCAAAGAAAGAAATAGGCGTTGACCATGTAATGTCCACCTAGCTGCATCGCTCATGCTTGGAGTCGGCAAAGCACTCCTTATTCCCCATAGAGTAATCTGAATAATGACAACAACCTTATGTAACCAAAAAAAAAGGATTTCTTAGCTTGTTGGCAGAAGACTGAAACTCATTTTAAAATAGGGGAAAGGATCGTTAACTGAAAAAAACAGAGACCCCTACTTTAACAGCACACTAAAGTAACATGTGTGCACATTCGAGAAAGCACACATAGCAACATGTGTGCAAGTGTTGGACAAATATTTGTGGCAACTTGGCAAGGGGTTACAATATAACGAATGAGGAGAGAACGGATTCAGTAACTGAAGTGGTAATGAGTTCCAAGTTATTTGAAGCTGCAATTGAGAGGAAATAGAAGTAAATAAAATGTGGGTATAGAACTAAAGCTGTAACTGTGTGTGGTTAGCTACATCTAAAAAAGTGTGGGACTGAGCACTAATTGAGAGAACAAATAGCCTAGTTATGCAACTATAAAATTCAGCTCTGGATCATGTACCATGCACCCCTAAATTCCTTGATGCATGTTTGCCAACTGCCTCTTATGCTCGGAAACTCCAACCTTGTAACAAAATAACCAAAGGGACATTCTTAAACCATCGCTGGAACATATTTTTCATGGCAACAGAAGTAACCTGTGACCACATATATTTAGAATAAGCTAGCAACTCACACTCATATAATCATATTCATAGTAAGAGAACTCTTAAGACCGTAAAGCAACAGAATGTATCTTCATTAGTTGATATTGATCTAATATTAGGAAACTGTAACCATCCATTCATATTCTAGCTAGTTAATGCATTTTCATAACAAAACCAAAACCATCTATAAGCACAACTGTGACAAAGACACACGGTGTACTGCAGAAAAAGACAAATATGATATGAAACAACAGATCCTGTTAAGGCAAATATGAATATTCCTGGTAAGGCCAAAATACAAATCAAAGGTCAAAGGAGAGAATGCAGAGCTGTCTAACCTTCATCAGTTATGAAGTTAAACAGCTCTGTTTAACTATGTACACATGGTCGGTAACAGCTAGGAAAAAACATGAAGTAAGCCCAAAAGAAAGTTTAATTCTATGTCGGCACTAAATCTTTTTTGGTAGCCATAAAAAAGATATATAATGCTAACACTAATATGTGTTGCCTTTAAAACTGACATCAAGACCCTGAATCTTTTTGCTAGCCATAAAAAAGATATATAATGGTGACACTAATATATCTTACCTTTGAAACTGACATCAAAACTAATAGCACGAGCAAAGCAAAGATGGTACACCTTAGTGTCTTGACATTTGTGTCTAATAGTTCCATGTAGACATGTCATCAAAAATCATGAGGACACTCTGTAGGACATCATACCTACAGAGAAGGGGTCACATGGTCACGGTATTAGCAAGTTATCATTGGGACATCCATATATAAAGACAAACCGATACTCTGTAAAAAACAACTGATATGTACTAATTAAGTTATTAAGTGGCGACAGATTAGGGGGAACTAAAACTTACTCAGCAAGACTACCTGAGGTGTAATGAGTTATGAAGCAAGCAGTTGTATTTACCTATGGTACACATGATGAGTAACAGGTAGGGAAAAACGTGGACCATGCCTAAAAAGAAATTTAATTCGATGTTGGCCTTGAATCTTTTTGCTAGGCGTAACAAAGGTATATAATGGTAATACTAACATGTTTCGCCCATGAAACCAACGTGTAATTTGTTTTTTCTCAGTACATCCCTGTCAATGAACTTGCAAAAACCAATCAGCATACACGACCACCACAATCCACAATGCACTGTGGTGTCTTTGGACATAATCAAGATAGGGATAAAAAAGAATAAATGGATAAAGTAGCAATTATCAATGTGACAATTTCTAGAGGAGGAAGGGGGAGCCGGCATCATCACTAAGGCAGCTAGGCACATTAGTTGGCACACACCCAAAAAAAATAGACAGCACATCCCCATTAGATCGTTGGAAACAAAAATCAATAACGAAAACAAAGATTGAATCAATACAAAAGGAAAAGATCCTGGACATATAGAATCCAAAATCAGAAGTAAGCACGCATGACCTAGCACAGTTTCGTCGAAGACGCCGACATGTGACAGTGATTGTTCAACAGATCAAGAGAGAGGGAGAGAGAGAGAGGAAGAGAAAGGCACCTAGGGTTTCATGGAGCACAGGAGAAGGCACGGCACTGCAGGGCGATGTTGAGGAGGATGGGGGAGAGGTAGAAGTGCCGCCGGGCCCCACCCGCGCCGGCGCACCGCCCGCAGGGGCGCCGTCGCCTGGCACCCGCCGCCGGCTCTCGCGCCCTCCGCCGCATCAGGAGGGAAGGGAGAGAGAGAGAGAGAGAGAGGAAGGGGAGGGCGAGATGGAGGTGAGAGGCAGGCGAGGGCGAGCGGCGGCGGAGGAGGAGGAGGGCGTCCGACGCCGCCGCACCCCGGTCGCGCCCGTGGCCGTGTTCACGTCGGGATGGAGAGGGAGAGAACGATGGAGAGAGAGAGAGAGAGAGAGGAGGGAAGACTCTAGAAGAAGTTGAAGCCGTAGTATATATTCGGCTGTCCGGATTCGGACGAGAAACGGGAGAAGCGGAGTATAAGGGGAAGAAGCCAACCAGAATCAAGAAAATCGGTCGTTTGCAAGAATCTGCTTCAAACGATCTGGACCATGGAAGCGCAGATCCGATGGTCAGGAACATTTAGAGCGACGTGGACAGAGGTTCTGTCGGGAAACCACCGCGGGCTTGTATAGGTAAAAACTACAACTCAGGTCTGCCTCGAATCGCCCGTTTGATATTGCTAGGCTGATGAAATTTACTGATAGTGCCCCTGATAGAAAATATAAGCACATTTACGTTTGTTCTAAGTAAAAAAATAATTAATTTTGACAAAAAATATCTATAGAATATATTGTTTTAAAAATAGTTAATGACAAAGCTATAGGTGTCTATGGTGTGTGTAGTATGTGGTGTCCATTTGGTTGTACGTTTAGATATTACGAGCATACCCCGCGTGTTGTTGCGAGGATGACGAATGAATTTTTAATGAATGATGTGGCTCACTGACATAAATAGCTTGCATGAATAGATGGTTTTCATAATCCATGTGCTAGTGGGCTGCGGATGTTTTCATAATCCATGTGCTAATCCATGTGCTAGTGGGTTGCGGATGTGGATGGCTTGCATGTTAAGATATAATTATAGTGCAGTTTAGTTTAGGATTATAAGAGATATAGATTATAGCTTATGCTATTAGATCTGAGGAATAAAAAGAATCAGATATTCATTTCTTTTCTATAAAATAATAAATAGTATATCTATACAACTAATTTTAAAATGGTAAAAAAATTCTAAGACCTTGTTTTAAAAAAATTATACCTATGCATTTGCTACCAGTTATGTTGGATAAATTGTGAGTCAATAGTTATGCATGAGTACCTTTCTTTGATTATTCCAAAATTCAAACTGTGATTGTAAAACTCTATAGGAAACCCATCAGGCAACAGAGATTTATTGTGTTTCATTTGAAAAAGAGCATCCCTCACTTCCTTCTTAGTAAAAATATCAATTAGAAGTTTATTTTCAACCTCTGTTACTTGAGAGACGTCGTCTATTTGTACCTCATACAAGGAAAACTCATTTCTTTATTTAAATTCTCATCACCCTCAATTATCCCCTCATCTTGTCCAAGACGAAAAATTCAAGTTTTCCTTCTATTGCCATTAGCTACCATCGCAAAATATTTGTGTTGCAATCCCCTTGTAAAAGGTCCGTAGCTTTAGCCCTTCGGAACCAATTAATTTATTCTTCCCTAAGTAACTGTGATATTCTTTGTTTAACACTTTGTTTCAAATCAATCTCTTGCTGACTTAGAATTTGAGTTTCTGCTTTTTTTTTCAAGTTCCTCAGCAATCCTGAAGTTTTGTTTTTCCTTTTTTTTATCAAGTTCCTCAGCAATCCTCCACAAATTTCCATTTTCACCCAACCTCTCAAAAGTTGTCTTAGTTTTCTAGTTTTATTTTGCCATCTTTGAAAGGGTGTATATATAGAGACACTATATATGCTAGCTGTCTGCTTGATATGGTTGTAAAATAATGATTTGTTACCGCTATCAGTTTTTGTTCATAACTCAATATAATCATCTCTGCGTTCATAACTCGCAAGATCAGTTTTTGTTCAACTGTAAAATCACGATTTGTTACCACTATGTGTGTACATATAAGATTTATCTCGACTATTTTCACCCAAAAATACAAGAGAAGTGAATGACGTATTCGAGTTCATTGGCTGGTTCTCCACTCTCATACACGGCATATGAAAATCCCAGCAGCAGCATGACTGCCCAGTATACCTTGCTCTGTTGTGTGCACCTGCGCTCTTTTAGTTAAAAAAAAGTACATGTAAAATCTCTTTACTGCACTGGCAATAGAACGGCAGGACCCATTGACTAATTAGAACGGCAGTTGCCAACCTGTTTATTTTGCCTGAAACAACGCAAGGACCCATTGACTAATTAGAACGGCAGTTGGAGCGCAGACACTGGCAATAGGGCAACAGGTTGGGGAACCCCCACTGGCAGCGCCCGTCCACGAAGCTGTGCCCCAGGCAGATGCTCCGGCATCGTTCTGTCTTGAAGCAGACGGCGTAGTCCACGCGGTCGTCGACCCAACAGTCGTCCACCGAACCATAGACAGGCAGTAGGGCAAAGCCTGCAGAGATTCACATGCATGATTCAGAGACAGGTACAAACAGATACTGTTACCGTTTTCATTTTGCTAAAATTTGACTTATGCTGATTTATTGTGAGAGAAAAACATTATTCGTTCGTTGAAAAGTACCGCTGAAGTAGTGATACAGAACCATTGTTTTATCATTTGATGAAAAGTTGCCAGCTAAGACGAGACACGCAGCTGCTTACCTACGTTCATGAGAAGCAGCAAAAAGAGGAGACCTGAAGCCATCGCTTTGTTCGTCATATCCATTTCTAACACGCGAGCTGAGGGAGCAGGAGAAGGCCGAATCCAACTTCTCCCTCTCTCTCTCTCTATATGCAGTGGCCCTTCATTCGTACTGTCACGTCCAGAGATGCTAACTGATAGAATTATAGATATGAATGCTCCACAAAACGTTTCATAAAAAAAATGCTCTACAAAACAGTCCATCGTCCATTTATATTGTTCCTATAAATTAATTCCTAGGAATAAAGAGAGAGTTCTGTCCACATTAATTAGAAAACGATGTAGTATATACCATGGAAAAAAGAACGCACATTATGTACCCCCACAGTCGTTATTACTTGAGGTTTTCTAGAACAAACACAATGGAGACCAATTAATATTGACCACAACAGTACTTTTCAGCGAATAAACAGTGTTTTCCTCTCACAACAAATCAGCATAAGCCAAATTTCAGCGAACAGGGTACACCGTAATCAATGGCCTACATTGAGTTTGGGTACAAAGTCCAAGCTCACTTTTTGTGTATATATCATGGAATATTGGTATAGAAAGAAACACTGTTTTCAGAACAGTTGGATATGCGATAAAACTTATTAGGCTATCCTCAGTGGATAGTTTCATATGGGGGCTTCTAAGAGTAGGACATCATCTAAAGGGTTTAGTTTAATGAATGAAACAAGGCTTCCCATCCAATGCAAAATACTCGAAAAGAACCCTCAAACTACATCACAATTGTGTACTCATCTCTGCGGTGTAAAAATAACTTAAATTAATCGCCTAATCACCTCAATTATCCACATATGCTATTACTATTAGAAACATAAGCTAAATTGATCCCTAAATTCACATCTAAATTAGATATATCCACCATTACAAAAAGTAGCATAAATCAACACATCTATGCCATTATTAAAAATATAATGTAAAACATGTGTTACCATTAAATTCACATCTAAACTATCAACCTCCACCAATATTTATAATAACGTAATTAACCATGCATCTATAATATTTGTGTCCAAATACATGCATATGTCATTATTAAAAAAAATCTAAAGCACTTCTAAATTATTTGGTTCTTTTAAATATAGAAAAACCTACTCAAGATATGCAGCAATGCATGATGTGTGGCACCACTCACATCATGTAAACATTTATGTATGCGAGAAGTGATGATCATATAAATTTCTGGATCAGACATATCAAACATGTATGGGAATTTAGGACCTCTAGGCGAAGATGAACTGTGCGAGAAACGGGAAAGAAAGATAAATAGAGTTTGTTTTGTAGCTCTTCACAATCTTCCTGTCACCCCCCTCTGCCCGGCCTCCCATGAGAAACCCAAATCCCTAACCCGGAACTCTAGCCTCACTACCCACCACTCGCTCCCGGCCTCCCTCCCTCCCTCCTAATTTCGGCGGTGTCAATTGGTCACGTGCTGCAAGAACGGTCACCAAATAGAGTTTGCATAAAGAAAAAAAGAGCCTTGATACTGTACTTCAATTATCACATTGGAAGAATAGCTGAAACCAATCACAACCGTTTTTTTTTTTTTGAATTTACAAAACAATTAAATAACTAAACATCAGAAAAAGAAAAAGAAGTCCAATGAAAACAATAATTCTCATTGATCATTTACCATGTACTCCTACCACATGTTATACGGCACGTGTTAAAAAATATGGTAACAAACATGTAGCGCATGTAAGGCTATATTTCTAGGTTAAATATGTGCCTGTTGCCGTGACATGTATGAGTGCCGTATTGACGATGTGAATAGGGGAGGGAGGAATTAACGTACGTCATCTACCCCAAAATAGAAGTCATTCTCGCTTTCTGACAAGTCATTTTTTTTAACTTTGACCAATTATATATAAAAGAATATTAATATTTATAACATATAATTAGTATCATTAGATATATTGTTGAATGTATTTTCATAATAAACTTATTTAAAGATATAAATGTTGTATGTATTTTCTATAGACCTAATTAAAGTTAAGAAAGTTTGATCTGCATGTATCCCATAACAGCTTTCTTTCTAGGACGGAGGGAGTACGCTGATGGCCACTAGATAGTGGCAAAAAAATTAAATATCCCAGGAAATTCACCTATAGTTTTAACCGTGTTCGAACTTCAAAGCCACGGCAGGAGCACGACGGTCGACGGGACCAGGCCAAGAAGGGACGAGATCACCAGAAAAAGGTGAAAAGCGGAGGCCTGGACACTAGCCACTGCCGGTGGCCAGTGATCGCTGCCTGCCCGTGCCCGCGTCCTACACCCAGTGACCACTCACCTCCATGAATCATCATCTTGCACTGTCGGCCCACCGGCTTGTGCGGGCCGCATGGCGAACCGGATGTCACGGCACAAGACCCATCATGTGCGCGCTGTTAATTTAATTTAACGGAATCTTGAGTTTGAAAAATATTTGACCTGAATCCAATCTCACCACCACCAGTCCAACACCTGGAAGCGAAGCGATCTCCCTCTCTCCGCGCTACCCTGCCGAGGGCGTGAGCGTGACGCGTTCATCAGCCGCTTAGCTTCTGAGCGCGTGTTTAGTTGGAGGGAAATTTAGATTTTGGCTATTGTAGTATTTTTGTTTTTATTTGATAATTAGTGTTTAATCATAGACTAATTAGGATCAAAACATTCGTCTCGTAATTTTTAATGAAACTATGCAATTAGTTTTTTTCATTTAAATTTAATGTTTCATACACGTATTACAAGATTCGATGTGATGACTAGTGTATTCGATGTGATGACTAGTGTAGCCACTTTTCAAGAATTTGAGATTGCGCTGACTTTGCGCGAATGAACATCACATGATTGGCCGACACCAGACAGCAGTTGAAGTTTGCAGATCGCACAAGCCGGGGGTCACGTGAGGTATACAGTACACCTGTCAGCGAGTTGCTTCCGCGCGTCGCTTCAGCGCGTCGCTTCAGGACGACACAACGAAGCAAGCAACAGCAATCAGTCATAAATGGAGTATGGACCGCGGTGGATCCGTGAAATTTTTGGGAAACGTGGAACGACACGTACCTCTAGCTGTTGCTCGATTAAGCCATATCTTATCTAAAAATTTATGGGGTTTCAAAGACTTACACGATAGAATTTTACCTAAAAATTCATAGGACTTCAGATAGGTTCCACTGCTTCGGTACGGATAGAGGGCTCAAACACCCCGCCCCCACCGTTGGATCCGCCCATGAGTACAGAGTACGTAGAACGAGAGGACATGTGGGACAACGGCGCCTCGCCACGCTGCGTCCGTGCACACGCTATGGAGTGGCAGGGAGCTCATGCATTAGACTATCTTCAACAACATCACTCAAAATACAAAATTCATTCAACGTTTGGGTAACATTACAATTAAAGAGTTCAATATCTATTCGACATTCTCTTAACAGCAGAATCCAAAAGAGAATACTTTCTCCAAATAGGTTTTCAGAAGAGAGGATACTCATATTTAGGTTGTGTCTCTCAGACAACCCAAAATAGGTCTTCCATATAGATAATATATTGGAGACTGATTTTGGGTCTCTGCTATCTATTTTGGGTTTAGGTGCCCATTAGCCTGTTCGGCTGACGGTAAATGATCGTGGATTATTTACTGCTGGCTGGTTTGATGTGAGAGAAAAATACTATTTTAACTTATAATCCACGATCGTATACGACCACGTATGGGTCCGACAGTCTTATCAATGAATGAATTCATACGATTCATAAAACGTACTACGTGCAGATGCATGCAAGAACCAGAGCTTTTAGGAATCGTGATCTGGCTCCAAAGACGGAGGAAAACCAGATGAGCCAAGAGCGGCGAGGAACTGAACTGAAACGACTGTTCTAATAGTAGTGATATATATAGTATGTTCTAATCCAAGGTCCGAGGAAAATAACTCCAGAGGGCACCAATCACTAGTAACTGATGAATTAGTACAAGAACAGGAATCACTAGTACTAGTAATAGCTACTGGCTTCCTCCTAACCAAGTTTATGGCAAGCTGAGTACAGTACAGAGTACAGCTAGTCCTAGAGAGTTCGGGTAATAATTAGAGATCGAGAAAACCAGGACCAGTTGGATCGTGGATCTGGATCAGGCGGCGGGGACGACGCAGCAGCAGGCGGGGCAGCGGACGAGCCCGTTCTCGTTGCACTCGGCGCAGGCGCGGAACCCGCCGCCGCCCTTGAGGCTGTACCGCTTGTGGCTGCCGTCGCAGGCGCCGCAGAGCACGTAGCGCTCGCCGCCGCAGCGGGCGCAGGTGCCGGGGAACGCGGGGTTGGCCGGGGCGACGATGCGGCGGAGCTCACCGGACTCGTGGAGGCGCCGGACCTCCTCGGCGCCGCCGAGGTGGCGGCCGCCGACGAAGACCTGGGGCAGCGCCACGCGGCGGCGCTGCTGCTGCTGCGCGTGCGGGGGCAGGAGCGCGGCGAGCTCCGGCAGGTAGCCGGGGTCCATGGAGAGGTCGCGCTCGTCGACGGCGGCGCGGAGCCCGCGCAGGATGGCGCGCACCGCGCGGCAGTCCTCGTAGGTGCCGCGGACCACGCGGAGGGAGGTGAAGTACAGCACCACCTGCCCGCCCCAGGCGCCCGGTACTAGCTCCTTGCCGTTGCCGGCGGGCGCGGCGGCCGGGGACGGGGAGTGCTGGAGCGCGCGGAGGACCCGGAGCGCGGAGGCGGCGACGCGGATGCGGTGGAAGACGCGCGGCGACGGGGAGGCAGAGGGCAAGGCGGCACCGGCGGCGGCGGAGTCCGGTGCGAGCAGGGACCGGAGGTCCTTGAGAGACGTGTTGGGGATGGAGAGGCGCGGGGACGCGCCGGCGGCGGGGACGAGGGCGGTGGACGTGGAGGCGGCAGCGGGGTCAGAGCTGCGCGTCTTGACCCACGACGGCCACATGGGGACTGGGGGATTGATGCGGTGCGGTTGCGCGGACTCAGGCGGGAAGCGCGTCGGGGACGGGAACGGTGGGGAGTGATGTGCTGCTTTGTGTTGC